AATTCCCCAACATAAAGTTAGGTAAGACACTTACCTCAAAACAAGCTAAATTAATCCACTAGTAGGGTTTTCCCTCGATTTTTCAACTCCGAACAGCTCGAATCTAGCCAAAACAACTTCATACCATAAATATAAACTACAGGAAACTAATTCAAATAATAAAGTTACAATCTTTGCAAAGAAATATAAAGTCAACCCGGGCTAGCATCTCGGAAACCAACCAAAATTACAAAATCCGAACACCCATTCGATAACGAGTCCAACTATACAAGAATCACTCAAATTCGACCTCAAATCGCCTTTCATAACCCCAAAATTTAGTCTAGGAAGTTTTCACAATTTTTACCCCCAAATTTCCAACTCAAATCCCTAATTAGTTAATGAAAATAGTAATAGATTCATGGAATATAGTCCAATCCGGGTTAGAATCACTTACCCCAATAATTTCCTTGAAAAAACGTCGAAAAATTGCCTCACACCGAGCTCTCTAGATCCAAACTATAAAAAATGTGATACAACCCTCGTTTTGAAACTTAAATTTTGCTGCCAAGTCGCCCTCTATCACGATCGTGGACAGGGACTCGCGATCGTATAACACAAATTTTGCTAGCTAAAAAATTACACTTCGCGATCGCGTGAAACCAACCACGAACGTAATGAACAAGCTGCCTCACCTTCGCGGCCGCATCCTACACTTTGCCATCGCAGCCTTAACCTCGTGATCGCATAGAGAAGAAATTCACCAGTGCCAAACAACTCTTTGCGATTGCGATGACCCACTCGCGATCGTGTTAAGAAAACCAGTAACAACAGATCAACAGTTCTTCAAGGTTCTGAAATGCGCCGAACATGGTCTGAATTATACCTAGGGCCTCGGGGACCTCAACCAAACATACCAACTAGTCCTAAATCATCATGCAAACACGCTCGAAGTGTAAAATCACATCAAACAACACTAGAACCACTAATCGCGCATCGATTCAAGCTTAAGGAACTTATGAATTTCATAACTAATGCTGATTCATACCAAAACAACTCTGATTGACTTCAAAATTTGCACATAAGTCATAAATGACATGACGGACCTATTCCAACTTTTAGAATCGGAATCCGACCTCGATATCAATAAAGTCAACTCCTGGTCAAACTTTCCAACTTTCCAAACCTTCAACTTTCCAACTTTCGTCAATTCACGCCTAAACGACCTACGAACCTCCAAATGAACATCCAAACACGCTCCTAATACTAAAATTACCATAAGGAGCTATTGGAATTGTCAAAACTCCATTGCGATGCCATTTACAAAAATGTAAAACTACGGTCAACACTTTCAACTTAAACCTCCAACTTAAGGACTACGTGTCCCATTTAAATTTGAAACTCACACGAAAGCAAAACCAAACACCCCAGAAGTCACATAACCATAATATAACATGGAAGAGGCAATAATTAGAGGATCGTAGCTAAAATACTGAAAACGACTGGCCGGGTCGTTACATTAGAAAAGCACTTTTGAGAAAAAATAATTCTCAAAATAAGCCGATTTTTGTAGCTTGGCCAAACATGCTATAAGTGTCTTGAATTTCTAAATTATTGATTTGAAATTCAACACTAAGTGTCCTGAATTTATTAACTCCTAATTTAAAATTCAGGATATAAGATTCAAATTTCTGGATACAATTTTTAATTTTTAGAACACGATATTCTGAAGTTTGAACCTTGGGGTTTAAACTTAAAGACACCGTGACATGAAGTTTGAGTGAATTTTCTAATCTTTAAATGCATTATAAAGTGTGGATATATGTAGACATCATGCTTAAAAGTGGCTACGTTGTGTCATTTCCACCTATCTTCGATCTGCAAAGCCTGTAACCCGCCTCTCACCCACACCGCTCTATTGTCATCCCTAAATTGCTGCCTCCTTTATATGGTGAACGCGTCAATTTCATACACATTATTTCACATAACATTTCCAACAATATTTCGAGTTCCATTATTTGTGTTTAATATGTGCATTTAGAAATGTTAAATGGGTTGATTAAACTGAATTTAGGCTTGTGAAATGGCTATATACAATTTATGGAACTAATTTTTTTAAATATTTTGATAATTTCTTATGGTCCATTTAGGATGCATATCAGCTTAACTTTTAGATGAGCGGAATCGGGTAGGTCATAATAAATTAAGTTAATAAATGAGCGGGATATTAATTCGCCCAAACTTTGAAAGGTTAGACGTGTCATATTTTCATGAGCTAATTTCACCCTATATACACTGTTAATGATTATTGATTGGCCTGCCAGGTTAGTAGTAAGCCGTTCTCCCATAGTGGCATAAACCAAAACTCAATCATGTAACGATGATTATTTATTTTTCGAACGGAAATTTTACCTCCTATAGCAAATGTATACAATAACAACCTAGTAAAATCTCACTAGTGGGGTCTGGGAAAGGTACTGTGTATGCAGACCTTCCCCCTACCCAAAAAGAGTAGAGAGGTTGTTTCCAAAAGACCCACTGCTCAAGAAAACAAAAATACAAAAGGAGACAATATTAGTATCACCACGAAAATCATAGGAAAAATAAGAACATGAAATCCAGAAGAAAGATGTAAAGCAAAAGCGATAGCTAGTAATATAGGTCCTGCACTGAAAATCGAAATAGTAAGACACAACATCGCCACTAGCTATCTTAGATAAAAACCCTACGAGACTAATCTTACAAAGGTACGAAGTAAGGCATGACTCGACTACCTCCTAACCTACAACCCTAATACTCGACCTCAAAATCTTCCTATCGTGTCATGTCCTCGAAAATCTGAAGCCTCGCCATATCCTGCCTGATCGCCTCTCCCCAATACTTCTTAGGTCGCCCTCTACCTCTTCTCATGCTCTCCACAACCAGCCGCTCACACCTCCTTACCGGAGCATCTGGGCTTCTACTCAAAATATGCCCGAACCATCTGAGCCTTGCTTCCTGCATCTTGTCATCAATGGGAACCATGTGCACCTTCTCTCGAATATCATCGTTCTTAATTTTATCCATCCTACTGTGCCCGTACATCCACCTAAACATCCTCATTTCTGCTACTTTAATCTTCTGGATATGTGAGTTCTTAACAGGTCAACACTCAGCCCCATACATCATGCCCGGTCTAACCACCGCTTTATAGAATTTACCTTTGAGTATCGGTGGCACTATCTTGTCGCACAGGACTCCAGATGCTAACCTCCACTTCATATATTCTACCCCAATACAGTGTGTGACATCCTCATCGATCTCCCCTCCCCCTGGATCACCAACTCAATGTACTTGAAGCTGCCTCTACCTAGGATGACTTGTGATTCAAGCCTCACATCCACGCCCACTTCCCCTAGCTCAGCGCTGAACTTACACTCCATGTATTCCGTCTTCGTCCTGCTCAATTTGAAACCCTTAAACTCAAGACCCTGTATCCAAACCTCCAGCCTCTCATTAACAACGGCTCGCGACTCATCAATAAGAACTATGTCATCGGCGAATAGCATGCACCATGGCACCTCCCCTTGAATATGGTGTGTTAACGCGTCCATCATTAGGGCGAATAAGAATGGACTGATCGAAGAACCTTGGTGTAACCCCATTACAACCGGAAAATGCTCAGAGTCGCCTCCTACTGTCCTAACCCGAGTCTTAGCCCCATCATACATGTCCTTAATCGCCACAATGTTGGGGGCCGACGCACCTTTTGCCTACAAGCATCTCCAGAGAACTTCTCTAGGAACCTTGTCATACGCTTTCTCTAGGTCAATAAACACCATGTGCAGATCCTTCTTCCTCTTTCTGTACAGTTCCACCAACCTTCTAATAAGGTGTATAGCTTCGGTAGAGGCTTCAACCACCCTCTCCCACACTTTCATGGTATGACTTAGTAATTTGATACCCCTATAATTGTTACAGCTCTAGATATTACCTTTGTTCTTATATGACCGTACTCCACCTCCACTAATCTGGAGTCCTCTTCACCTTATTTATAACATTAAACAACCTAGTCAACCACTCCAAACCTGCTCTCCCCACACACTTCCAAAATTCCACTAGAATCTCATCTGGACCGGTCGCTCTGCCGCTACTCATCTTATGCATAGCTCCCACGACCTCCTCAACCTTGAGACGCCTGCAGTACCCAAAGTCATGGTGGCTCTCGGAATGCTCCAATTCGCCTAGCACAATATCCCGATCCCCTTCTTCATTCAGAAGTTTATGAAAGTAAGTCTGATGTCTCCTCTTAATCTGGACGTCTTCCATCAATACTCTACCGTCTTCGTCCTTGATGCGTCTCACTCGGTCCAAATCACGAGCCTTTCTCTCTCTCAAGTTCGCCTGCCGGAATAACTTCTTCTCCCCACCTTTTTCTCCCAACTCCTCATACATACGACCATAAGCTGCAGTCTTAGCCTCCATGACCGCCAACTTAGCTTCCTTTCTAGCTACCTTATACCTCTCCATGCACGCTCACCTCTCCTCCTCAACAATGCTCCCCACTAACTTTAAGTACGTCACCTTCTTCGCTTCCACTTTACCTTGGACAACTTCATTCCACCACCAGTCTCCTTTATGCCCACCAGAGACACCCGCCGAGACCCTTAACACCTCTATCGCAGCCTCCCTTATATAGTCTGCTATCGCTGACCACATAGTGCTTGCGTCACCACTGCTCATCAAAGCTCCCATAACTGACAAACGCCTTTCCAACTCTTGGGCTTTATCCTTAGTTAAGGCTCCCCACATGATTCTCGGTCTTCCTCGAGCAGTCTTTTTCCTCCTCATTAACATAATACCAACGTCCATCATCAAGAGCCTATGCTGCGTCATGAGTATCTCACCCGGAATCACCTTGTGATCCTTGCACAACCCTCTGTCACACCTCACGAGGGGAAGACAGTCAATCTGAGTCTTCGCCATCGCATTTTGAAAAGTAACCCAATGCTCCTCCCTCTTCGGAAAGCTAATGTTCGCAATCACCAACCCAAAAATTTAGCAAAGTCCAACAACGAGGTACCTCCTATGTTCCTCTCCCCAAAACCGAAGCCTCCATGCACCTCGCCATAACTACCTGCGGTCGACCCAATATGACTATTGGAATCCCCTCTTATGAATAGCTTCTTAGTCGGCGGAACCTGATGCAATATCTCATCTAACCCCTCCCAGAAGCGCTGTTTAACCTCATCATCTAGGCATGCATGCGTTGCATAGGCGCTAACGACATTTAGGGTGCACTCTCCAACCACCAACTTAATAATCATCAATCTATCATTCACTCGTCTATCCTCAACCATAGACTCTCTAGGATCCTGAGTACCAAAGTTTATACCCGTCCGCGTCCTTCGCCCTTGACCCTACCCATCTTGTCTGTTGGACACACGCTATATTGACCCTCCTCTTCTGGAGGATCTTCGCCAACTCCATAGACTTACCCGTTAATGTACCTATGTTCCATGACCTAATTCTCAACCTATAAACACCCTTGTTCCCTTTAGCTCCCTTGCCTCCCAACCTACCCCCTAACCCCTGCCCTATCTCCCGCCTCGCCCCCTGCTCCCTCCGAGGACATGAACTCACTCGACCATCTCAAACCACAGCCACTATACCTATAACAGACTAATGGGAATTAGTAACACACACAAGGAAACAGACAAAACTAGAAAAAGACAAGTTGCGACTGCAGTCACACTAATACGGTGAATAAACTAATACGAACTAATATTGAAGCAATTTAACTAACGCAGCAAAAGGAAATAGGAAAACGGGAGGTACTAACTCCCACGAGCAGAACCTGAGAATTGTCTTGGTATACACAACGATGTTGCGGCCACCTAGCTCATTCGTGTCTAACCCCCGCCGCCTCTAGATGCCACTAGAGGTCCTCAATGATCTGCAATTTTTGTTTAAGAAACGAGCGTTTACGATGATTTAAATAAGATTATTATAAACCAAAACCATTGATGGTACCTATTATATTTTGTAGCAAAATAGGTATTTATGGTATACATTACTGTTAAGGTGTTAAATACGCTATTTATGTTTTACTCTCTCTTTCTTTCAATTATTCTCTCTCAAAATCTCAGCAAAATACTTCTTCTTTCTCTCACCGCGATCTCTCTCTCTCTCTTACAACAAGATTGTGGTAATTGTTAAAGCACGATTCTCTCTCGCATTTGACGTTTTTGCTCCAAAAATTCGTGGTTATTATTAAAGTTTTTGGCCAGTTCACACTTCTTCTATCTCTCTTGACATTTTTTTTTTTAATTTTTTACCACTATTAGGTTTTCATCAAACAACTTTAAATTTTATCTTCAATGGCCGATTCAACAACTCTGAAGAGGGTTACACGAGGTATACCCACTAAAGCACTCAATTTTGATGGGCCGTCTTTTGATTTGCGAATCACTCAAGAGGAACCTGTATTTGCAGGTCATCAGCAACCATGGAAGCCGAGAGGCGAACAAAAATACACAATGAGCCTATGAAACAAGGTCAAGATGAGAAATCTTCGAAAAAATCAACAGTTCCTGATGTTTCTCAAGTTTTTATAAAAAATATAAATGTGGAAAAGAGAAGAAAACTTATCGATGTTGCTTCTGGGAGCAAGGGAAAAGAGGTCTCTAAAGGAAGTAGCTCGAAAACACGGAAGGACAAGGTAGTTTGGATGTATTTATATGTCTTTGAGTCCACATACACTGATTTTAGTTTGTATAGTGATTTTTATTTTTTGTATTTATATGTACTTGAGTTAATAAAACAATAATGTTAAATACACCAACAGTTCTGTCAGTATGCCACAAATCAAAGTTGTATTTTTGTCATAATTAGTGTATTTAGATGTATTCATGAATGAGTTTTGTATTCATGTATTCACTATTTCATATGTACTGTATTTTGTATGCGTACAATGACAAGTCACAAACTGATGCTTTTGATGTTGTGGTTATTTCAATTTTTCCTCAACAATGATCTGGGAGCATGTGTGTGTGTGTGTGTGTGTATATATATATATATATGCATTGTATTTAACTGTTATCAATCTACATTTTTGCAGGAATTGTGGGTTATATGTCGTAGCTTACGCATAGCATTTGAGCACTTTTGGATTGGTTCTACAAACAGCCTTTGATCCTAATTACTCCGGCTGAGATATGGTGCACTACTTTGAGACTATGCTATGCGGAAGTTTGATGATGATGCGATAGGCGACAGTGAAACAGCGACAAAGATTGTTAGGCAAAACACAGAAACGGATACTTCTGTAAAGATAGTTATAGAATAATTTTCTGTTTTACATATTGTATTTTCGGCTTATTACTGAATTGTTCATAAGTAGGCAACCTTTGTTTTGAATACATGAACGTGTTTTTTGGGTTACAACAACTGTTATCATGAATACATTTATTTTTTTATATACTTCTGTATTCAAATTCTCATTATTCAAGAATGCATTTTAACTTTAATATTTTTTTAAAATTACTTAAAATAATGTAATCAAATGTAGTTGTATTAACTATATTTTAGTTATTCTGAATACATGAACTTTTTTTAGTTCTTTCTTTAATAAATGAATTCATATTTAGTTGTATTTATCTATGTTTGAAGTCTACTAAAAACTTTGTTTAAATACACTGAATGTACAGGAACCACTTAAAGTATATACACGTGTCCTATATGTATTCTGCTGTACTTCTGTATTTGTTTAATCACACATAGTTGTATTCTGTACTCAAATGTATTTTGAATGGAATTATAACAATGTACTTAACCGCCTATAGTATATATACATGTCCTATTATACATATACATACATATATATACACATCATTTTTTAAGGTATCAAAAAACATAACAGTAATGTATATAGTCATGTACATAGCTTTATTCTGCATTCAGATTTATTTTTAATTGAACTATAACAATGTATTTAACCACTTACAGTATATATATATGTCCTATTATACATACATACATACATACATATATACATACATATATACATATGTATATATATATATATATATATATATATATCTATATCTATATATATATATATGTATGTATTTTGGATGGAATTATAACAATGTACTTAACCACATATAGTATATATACATGTCCTATTATACATATACATACATATATATACACATCAATTTTTAAGGTATCAAAAAACTTAACAGTAATGTATATAGTCATGTACATAGAGCTTTATTCTGCATTCAGATTTATTTTTAATTGAACTATAACAATGTATTTAACCACTTACAGTATATATATATGTCCTATTATACATACATACATACATATATACATACATATATACATATGTATATATATATATATATATATATATATATATATATATATATATATATATATATATATATATATATATATATATATATATATATACATATGTATATATGTATGTATTTTGGATGGAATTATAACAATGTACTTAACCACATATAGTATATATACATGTCCTATTATACATATACATACATATATATACACATCAATTTTTAAGGTATCANTATATATATATATATATATATACTGTCACACCCCAAACTTGAATAGCGCGACCAACGCTCTACTGGGTGGACCCAGTTGAGCAAGCCTGATAGATACTTTGTACCCGACTCACTTATGATAACGAGATGGCATGTTTTCATTAATTAGACAATAGGAAGATAATATACACATTACTAAATCATTTCATTAGTTACACCTTCGTTAAGTTTCAAAATACACACACTCTTATGATTGAGTGGAACAAGATTCTAAACATAACATAATCCGTTGACTTCTAACACCCCTATACAACCCACATAGTGTCTATGGAGCCTCTAATAGATACAAATGAGTAAAACAAAAGTGCAGGCAACAAGGGCCCGGGTGTACCTCAAATACAATACATGGGAAACAAAAGATTTATAACACCGAAATGGAATGAGGCTCACCAAGACTGCTGGATGAAGAAGGTACTACTAATGCTGATCAACACTGCTTGCTAGGGAACCACATGCATCCATTAAAGACGCAGCGCCCCCGACAAAAGGGACGTTAGTACCATCGAATTGTTCTAGTATGTATAACTAAACAACATCTCATTAGAATGAACAATAATATAGGGGGGGGGGGGAACAGTCATGAGTTCAATAAGAGCTTCAAACAATACTAAAGCATCAAGCAAGGATCACATAAGTTCTCAAGTCAATTTTCATATTATTAAGTTGGGGAATCTTTAGTGCTGATATGCCACAATCCAAAACACCATCGTGTTCTTACAAGGAGTCCCATCTCGACCCGATTAGCTAGGTCATCTTATTTGATACACCAACCAAATCCACAATGTCAATCATCATTTGCAGCACAATTACCACCCTGTGTGCGGCATGGCATACGATCACGGCCCGATCGGCTAGGCCATCTCATTTGAGTCATCCACCATATCCACAATTTCAAACAATCATCTCACGTCATATTTCTTTTCCATCTTTCAATACGATAGCACGAGTGAGCTCATTTATAAAGTCATTCTTGGCACTTGGCCGTATTTCACAATTCAAGTTTTCTCTTTTCACATTCAAATATCATTATCATCAGCAACTATAAGGCCTATCGTGTAAGGCGTTAGTACACGTATCGTCAAACTTAGAGAATTCTAAGCACATAGAGGCCTTTCATACAAATTGGCACAACAACCTTTATTCATGAAATCATAACCTTTCTTAACACATATTCCACATTTTTAAATACATCCTCAAATGGCAAGATGACATGATAAGCATTCAGAAAGAATGTTGAACATATATCATTCAACACAACACATTAGGAATAGTCAATTCTAACATGATCAATCTGGGGGACTTGCACCAGCTACACGGACACCGGGGGATTCGATTCTAAGAAGAAGGGTTTTTAGCCATAAATGTACCTCAATTGAGTTTCTTGTACACTTTAAAACGTTCCGAAATTCTTAGCACTTCGATCTATTTTGGAAATATGACAAGTTGAACAAAAATTAGGAAGATGGTCATGATTCTAGCTTATTTGAGCATATTATCAAACACTAGGTGTGCATTAATGCTTTGAAGGTCTTTTATGAAAGATTCTACCATTCGTCAACCCATTCTTATCTCACAACCTCCCCTCATACTTTAAGAATACATGCATGCAAGATATCAACTCCCTAACCCAAGGATGGTCTTGCTAATTACCTATTGCGAAACTAAGAGCTAGGGTATAGATTCTTACCTTTAAGATGAAGACTTAGTTAACTTTACAT